ATCCGCCATGAAGCGCTAATGACCAAAATCTAATTTGGCGCGAAGGCCGGCGGGGTGGAGGTGGGGGTGGGAGGTGGGGATGGGAGGGGGGAAGGACATAGGGGTATGGAGTAGGGGGTAGGGGGTAGGGAAAAGGGCAGGGAGGGAAGGCTTAGGTCAGATGGGTTTTGTATAAATGCTCGCCATAACACTCGGCCATAATAATATCAGTTGTCATGCCGGCAGAGGTCAGCTGAAGTTCCTCTGGGGCACGGTGGGGGGGAGAGAGTTGGGGAAAGGGAGGTGGAGAGTGGGGAAGAGTCAGGGGTTGGGGAAAGGGAGGTGGAAAAGGGAGGAGGGTAGGAAGTTGGGAAAGGGAGATGAAGGTGGGAGTACGGAGAAGGGGGTTCGGGAAGAGAGGTGTGGGGAGGGGAAGGGGAGGGATGTTTCGTAACTGATGCTTCCAGCCGGACACAGATGACGTCATATAAGCCTCAGCTGATGCGAAGTGAAGCGCAGTTTCGCGGCAAACCGGATCTCATGACAATGTACACAAAGCCGTTGGTGTTGCGAAACGGTCTCGCACAGAAATGAACAGGCGAGTCTTTACAATAACAGTAACAAGAAAAATACAACAACAAAGAAACCCACAAACAACAATAATACCCAAAAAGAAAACAACAGCAACAAAAGGAAACCACAACCAACAATAACACTAAAAAAAAAAGGAAAGCAACCACAAAGGAAGCCATAAGTCACACAACCGAACACAGACAAACGACATGTTCCAGACTCGTTCTCGCCTCCCCGCTCAGCGAAATCATCAGCCCCAGAGCAGGTGTAGGTGAAGGCGGCGAGCGAGGCGAGAGAAAGCAAAGGGTGACGAATAGCGAGGCGAAGCGAGGCAGCCACACGCGCAGTTAATCACCACGAGTGTTGCGCCTGAAACCAAAGCGATGTTTTGTTACGAAATACCTCAATACAGGGCTCTGAGGAAATATCTTGAATCAATGTTTTGGTATACGACGGATGCGGCGTCTTAAAACAGTACCTTGTTACACGGTGGACCAAGGATGTTTGTTATACAGTAACTACTTGTATAATGCCTCGGCTTAAAACAGTGTCCGTTTATATAATGTCTCGTTTTAAAACAGTGCCTACTTGTATAATGCCCCGTCTGGTTATATAGTGCCTCGTCTTAAGCAGTGACTGGATGTAGTGCCTCGTCTTCAAACAGTGTCTTGTTATGTATTGCCTCGTCTTCAAACAATGGCTTGTTATACAGTGCCTCGTCTTAAAACAGTACTTTGTTTATGTAATGAGCCTCGTCTTCAACCAATGCCTTGTTTCTAGAAATGCCTTATGCGAATGCCTGATTACCCATTACCTGAACCCAATGCCTCGTTTTCACAGCGCAAGCGCACGCCTCGATTTAAGGCCCCAAAATCAGCGCCTTCTTACAAAACCCTGAGATTAATGCCTCGTTTTAATCCGCCGCTCGCTTTTCCTATGCTCGATGGACAAAATCCTTTTCGAATATCGCTTCCAACATGTAAATTTAATCGCATTAAGTTCTTAAATGATATAAAGGGGAGTTACATGCTTAATGCCACTCAGCCACGGGAAGAGGAGGGAAGGAGAGGGAGGAGAGGGAGGAGAGGGAGGAGAGGGAGGAGAGGGAGGAGAGGGAGGAGAGGGAGGAGAGGGAGGAGAGGGAGGAGGAGAGGGGGAGGAGAGGGAGGAGGAGGAGAGGGGGAGGAGAGGGAGGAGAGGGAGGTAAGAGAGGAGAGGGGGAGGAGAGGGGGAGGAGAGGGGGGGAGGGGGAGGAGAAGGGAGGAGAGGGGGAGGAGAAGGGAGGAGAGGGGGAGGAGAGGGAGGAGAGCAGCTGGTGGCATTCATCGTGGTGGTGGTACTTTTTGGTATTCACGTTCGCGATACGTAACTGAAACACAAATCGTGATATTATAAGGCAGGTTTGAAAGGAGAATTCAAGCCTCTTACCGATGTCATCACGATTTTCAAAATACTGTGTAAAAAATAAATAAATAAATAAATAAAAAAAAACACATAATGAAAAATATGACATGAATAATGGAATAAATCACTAGCAACATTTGCATCTCGAACCAATGCACCCACTGCGAAATATCGCACCGCTAAGCACTGATTTCGCTTCGTGTTCAAGGGCTCGCAAACACTCGATTCCAGCGCCAACAAACTCCGCAGCCAGGAAGCCATCACATCACTTGACATCACTTGACACCACATCGCATCACTTCACTTGACATCACATCGTGTCGCATCACAACACTTGACATCACATCACATCACAACACTTGACATCACATCACATCACAACACTTGACATCGCATCACATCACAACACTTGACATCGCATCACATCACAACACTTGACATCGCATCACATCACAACACTTGACATCGCATCACATCACAACACTTGACATCGCATCACATCACAACACTTGACATCGCATCACATCACAACACTTGACATCGCATCACATCACAACACTTGACATCGCATCACATCACAACACTTGACATCGCATCACATCACAACACTTGACATCGCATCACATCACAACACTTGACATCGCATCACATCACAACACTTGACATCGCATCACATCACAACACTTGACATAGCATCACATCACATCATTACACTCGCTGCTTGCCCCTGGCGCCGCTTCCACCACGCCACTCCTCTGCCAACGGGAATCAACCTGCTGCCAACATCGTTCAGAGACCCACTGCCACCTTCGGACACTAAATATATTTCTATTTATTTCTCCAGCCAATGCAGGTCGGTGAAGATATTAACCTTTTTTCTCTTCTCGTTCAAAGGAGAATGGAGAAGGAGTGACAAGGAGGATTAGGAAGAAGGAGAGACAGGGAGAATGGAGAAGGAGAGAGAAGGAGAATGGAGAAGGAGAAGCAAAACGGGGGAAAAAATTCGAGGGAAGATGCACTCTACTGGTTATGGCTGACGGTAAGGGGGTAGGGGGGGGCGGTGATAACTGATTGAAAAAAATGACGAGAATCATCTGATGCGCAACTAAGTCTTATTGCAACATTCCCAAGTGCATCTTCTATTCGATAAAACAAATGTAGAATTTGGAAGAAAGTAGTAAGAAAGGTTTAGGTAATGACACTGATATGATCCGAGGCTGCGGTGTCATGGCTTGCAATGACACTTGACAGTCCTTTCAAAAGCGATTTCCTCGTCCTTCTTCTTCTTCTCTCTCCCTATTCCCTCCTCCTCCTCCTCTTTTCCTAATCCCTCCTACCCTCTTGCTCCTTCCCACTCCACCTCTTCCTCGTTCCTTCCTATCCACCTCCTTCATCCTTATTCTCCTTTATCCCATCCTCTCTTATATTCCGTCCTACCTCCTACCTCCCTCCTCGTCCTCTACCTTCCCTCTCCTACCTTTTCACTCCCTCCATCCTCCCCAACCCCCTCTCCCCTCCCCCCCTCCTACGCTGCCATCCCCCCTCCCCCCCCTCCTACGCTGCCTTCTCCCCCCCCCACCCCCCCTCCCCACAATCCCTGTACTGCATCTAATGACCCTGAACCCCAACCAGCCGGAGGCCTTGCGATCCAACACTCTTTAGTGACACTTCATTAATGCCTCGCGATGTCTAATGGCTTCGCTACGGCGCTTTCTCTCCCGTCTCTCTCTTTGTCTCTCTGTCTCTTTTTCTGTTCCTATCTCTCTTTCTGTCCCTGTCTCTCTTTCTGCCTCGTCTTTATAGATAGACAGATAGAGAGAGGGGTAAGGAGGGAGGGAGGGAGGGAGAAAGAAAGAGAGAGAGAGAGAGAGCGAGAGCGAGAGCGAGAGCGAGAGAGAGAGAGAGCGAAAGAGAGAAATAAAAGAAAAGAATTAAAGAGGAAATTAATAAAAAAAAAAAAAAATAAAGAGGAAATAAACGAAAAAGAACAAAGAAAGAGGAGATTAATAATAATAATAAAAAATACCAAGGGGAAAATCACGCCGTCCCTCGCCAGCTCCCAAACGGCGCCGGTGTCCAAGTCGCTCCGTAACACCAGCGATAAGAACGGGCACCGACCCCGTTAATTAGGATCTCTTTTAACGAGGCGGACGAAAAGACGGATAATTTGCGAAATAAAATTCACCTTTTTCTCCTCTCCTTTCTTCAGCGTTTTTAATTTTATAGAATTCATCTTCGATTTATTCATCTATTATGGTGATTATCTAATTAGTCTTATTATGATTATCATTATTATTATTATTATTATCATGAAGAAGAAGAAGAAGAGGAAATAAGAGAGAGAAAGGTATAAGAAGAAGAAAAAAGAAAGACAACAGAGTTAAGAAAAAAAAGAAACAAAGAAAAGAAAAGAAAATAAGAAAGAATAAAATCCAAGACT